GGCAGCTTGCCATTCGCCCCAGAATCTGTTGCTCGCTTGTTTGCTGTTTCAGAAAGGGATCAACATCGAAGGCATTCTTCTGGGTAGTGAAATTTACATATCACAACCTTGCTGACTGTAGCAGAAATGAGGGCTGGGGGGGGGGAGGGAGGGGCGGGAGTCCAGGGTGGGGCCTGAGCCTTTGTAGGGGGAGGGAAGAGCTGATTTTATTACCCAGGAATAAAAACATTGTGAGTAATGAATAAGGTCCGAAAGCAGTAAATCTGGAACTCCGGCGTTAGGTGTGTAACGTGTCAGAGAACAATTTAAACCTTTGCCTCTTCTGCAGAGGTGAGGTATTTGGGCCCCCTCTCACAGCCTGAATCTCATTCAATGGTCTTTTAAGGGTTAGGATTACAAGAAGCCGTCCGGCTGGTTCATAATGATGATTTATGGCTGTGTTGTCGACTCCCCGACCCTTCTGTACAAGGGGATAGAGAAAATACATAATTTGTTGCTCATTAACTGCGAGATCTGTCAGGGCTGCCCCAGAAGCCATGTGGTCCTGGAGTCATGTGTCTGCTAAATGGCTTCAGCCTGGCCCTGTCCTTGAAAATACGCAATTGCTGTTCTGCAGTGGAAATCGTTTTTAATAACGATAGAAATACAGCTGATCCCCGATTTATGGTGGTTTGAGTTACGATTTTTTGACTTTACGATGGTGTGCAAGCAATATGCATTCAGTAGAAGCCATACTTAGATTTTCCATTTTGATTTTCTTTCCATGGGCTAAGGATCCATGGTACAGTGCTTTCTCGTGATGCTGGGCAGCAGCAGTGAGCCTCACCTCCCAGTCAAGCCCTGTGATCGTGAGGGTAAACAGCCTTTCTGTACCCATGCAACCATTCTCTTTTTCACCTTCAGTGCAGTATCCAATAAATTACATGCGCTATTGTACACTTAATTATAAAATAGGCTTTATGGTGTTGATTGTGCCCAACTGTAGGCTAATGTCAGTGTTCTGAGCATGTTTAAGGCAGGCTAGGCAAAGCTGTGATGTTCAGGAGGTTAGGCGTATTCAGTGCATCTTTGACTCAGGATACTTTCCGCTTAGGACGCATTTATCAGGACGTAACCCCACCATAAGTCGAGGAAGATCTGTAACAAAAAATTCTGTCGATATAGTCTGTTGTGTGTCTTTGAACTATCTGGGCTCTACTTCAGCTCTGTCACTTAGAAGCCTCAATTCCTTCAGCTAAGTGCCTGTCCCTCAGTGCCTTACCATCCCTCTGTACAATGGGTATGAGTTCTTCACAGAGTCACAGATCACATGAAGCTGTAAAGTACAAAAGAAATGTACAAGGTTACTGCTGTTAACAGCTTTGCTATTATGAATTTGAGATGCCATGAAATGCCTTCTTTACCTCTTTCTCCTCCTGTGAGAGCAGGAAGCATTTTAACTGGTGGTTTGCCGGGTGCAGGCCTGTGACACTGAAACCAAAGTTTTAGAATGAAGGGATGTTAGAGCTGAAAGGTGTCCTTTTTTTTTTTAAAGATTTTATTTATTTATTCATAAGAGACAGAGAGAGAGAGAGGCAGGCTCCCCGCTCAGCGGGGAGCCCGATGCGGGACTCGATCCCAGGACCCTGGGATCATGACCTGAGCCGAAGGCAGATGCTTAACCATCTGAGCCACCCAGGCACCCGAAAGGTGTCCTTGAGTTGTAATCCAAACCTTTCTCCCTGAAGTGGCTGAAGCAGAGAGGTGACTCGCCTGAGATTAATCAGTAAATTCACGTACGAGATGCTGGTTGGCAGTGAAATGCCACGTGTTCTTTTTCAGCATCAAATAGGAAGCCAGGCTCAAGCCAAGTCAGTTTAGAGTTTCTTAATTTGCAGCTGTGACACATCAAGGGACTCAAGAACCATCCAAGGGCGGGGATGTGCGTGGGGCCTTGGTTCTGTCCCATAGCCGTGGCATCACCTCTGAGGAAGTACTGTCCTCTGCTGTTGCTTATTACCTTTGCTTGGTGGGGAGGCCAGTGGTGGACTTCGCACAGGAGAGTTGAAAATGAATGTCATTGCAATTTTGAAGTGATAAATTACAGAGTCAAGCGCCCTCATTTTGCAAATGGAGACACTGGCTTATCTCAGATTCACTCAGTGAGTAGGGACTTGAACTCTGGCCACTGCCTTCTAGTTGAGTGGCCATCTCCCTGCCTCCAAAGTCATGTGAGCATGATTTATAAATAAAGAAGAAAGAGCATGATGGTGGTAGTGAACATCTGGAACCTGTTAGCCTGCAAGGTTACACAGGGTAAAAGTATAAACAGGTTCAAAGGGGAATTAGACCAGCAATGGTAGGAAAGAATGCTGGGTGGGGAGCTGGAACACCTGGGTCCAATCTTTCCTTGCGAGTTAATTTGGACCTCAGTTTCTTCCATGTATAATGGACCCTTTCATTTCTGACGTGCTATGCTTCTCAGGTTTTAATCTCTGCAACATGTTATCAAAGGACTTTTGGTAGTATTTAGAGGATATTTCCAGTTTTTTTTTTTTTTTTTTAAAGATTTTATTTATTTATTTATTTTGAGAGAGAGAATGAGAGACAGAGAGCATGAGAGGGAGGAGGGTCAGAGGGAGAAGCAGACTCCCTGCCGAGCAGGGAGCCCGATGCGGGACTCGATCCCGGGACTCCAGGATCATGACCTGAGCCGAAGGCAGTTGCTTAACCAACTGAGCCACCCAAGCGCCCAGGATATTTCCAGTTTTGTAATAAAACAACTATGAAGACTACGGTCCTGCTTTCATTCATTCATTCATTCATTCATTCAACCAGTAATGCCTGAGCACATCTGTGAGATCAGGTGCTCTCCCAGAGAATGGCTAAGCCAGGACTGCGCTGGACTGGCCTTTGACCATCTCTCTGTAACGTAGGATCACACTCACTGCAATCTGGGAGCCAGAGTGTGGCACTCAGAAATAATCAGGCATTTATAAGCACAGAATTACTGCACAAACGTTAGCAGTGCTGGTGGCTGTTCTCACTCCCACACCTGCTGGCCCCCTGGGCCCAGCTGGCATCTCCCTTCCACCTGGCCATCCCCCCGCTGCACTTGGGAGCCCTTGAGAACTTGGACCAGACCCCATGCCTCGACCCCTTCCCCAGCTGTAAAACAGTAACGGGAGACTTTGAAAGGGAGTTCCTGGATATGTCCGTCTATTACTTCCCTCGCGGTTGGGAACATGATCTGTGCTCCCTGAAAGAGCAAGTGTGGCTCATCACCCTGCCCTGTGAGAAACTGTAAAAGGAGCTCTGTGGTGCATGATGAGTTGACTGCTGTTGTCCCTGGACTGTGGTTGCCATCAGGAAGTGGCCGGGGCTGTGCGATGGAGTTAAGACAAGAGCAGCAGGCTGTGTGGTTGGGCGTGACCAGAGTCCTCTGCTGTGTAGGCATCACGGGCAGTGGCCTTACGGAGAACAAGCTGGACCCCCGGTCTTACCGTAAAACCGGGCAGTTTGGGTTGGGCTGCTTCCCCTGTCTGAGCTTCAGCCACACCGGTCTCATGGCTGTTGTCAGGATTTCATGAAATAAAGCCTATGGGAGCGATCCCCAGTATGCAGTGGGTAATCAGTAACTGGTGGCTTTTCTTTTCCCAGGCTTGAGAAGCCTCCCCTAAGTGTTAGGAGTAAATACGTTGGGATGGAGGAAGGGTATGAAAGCCAAGACTCACTGGCTGTCCTCTAGGATTGAGGAGGTGGGAGACAATGGCTGCAGGCTTGGAAATTTGCAAACACCGAAGGGCATGGTGTTACAAGTTCCTTGGTTTGTAGGCCAGTGTTCTCATCACAGCATTCTTCTCAGAAGGAAAATGAAAGAATCACTTTCTGTGACCCAGGTCATTTCTCATCCATGTTACTAGATTTAAACCAACAACTTGGCAAGGGCGTGTGCAGCCTCCTTTCATGGAGAAGGAAACTGAAGCTTGGAGAGGTTGTCATGGCTAAGCGACACCAGGCAGGTGGCAGAGCCGGGACTCAAACCCAAGACATGGTCTTGGGCATTCACCTTCCTACAGAAACCCCTACCATGGCTCAGTGTTGACACAAGGCTGGTAATCCCTGACTCTGAAGCCCAGTATCCTGAGATTGGCTCAGATCCTCTGACTTTCTGGCCACCAAGCCTTAACCATGTCCTTGATTGTTCATCTAATCTTTTTTTCTATATCTGGGTCTTTATTTGTCTCTTTCTTTGTTAAAAATAATACATATAACTGTTATATATAACATATATATATATATATAGTTTAAAGATTTTATTTATTTATTTGACAGAGAGAGA